ACTTTATTTATGCCAAACACAACATGTATGTAGTAGAATAAAAATGAATCACTGTTAAATTAAAAATATTTTTGAATTATTGATCCAAATTATAGAAATGGAAAAGGTTAGTTAAAAAATGTTCCATTTTTGAAATGAGTTTCAGATTTAAAAACAAATCGTTAATACAAAACAAGTGGGAAAATATGAAAATATAGGTTAAAAATTCACGTGTAAATTAATGCCTTCGAAGGTATTTCCCGCGCATTTCAGTTTCAAGGTAGCTGAAGAATCTGTTTTCGATCAAATTGAAGGGCGACGGAGCGGAGGAAAAAACTACGATCAAGCAATCGAGCATCCCGCTTTGCCAGAGAATTCGAACTGTTCTTTTACAGATTTTCATCGATTTAGTACTGCATATGAACAGAAATCAATATCATTTTCAATTTTTCATTAGAGCTGCTGAATAGCAAAACAATTTGCTTCGTGCCAGCAGTCGAGTTGTGTTCTCCGAGCTCAGGCCCTGGTAGGAGTGGAGTCGAGCTAGCCTAATTTTCCATTTTTTATTATGAAATCATAGGAGATTTGAATTTATGATACCACTAAACTAAATATGTTATAATTAAGATACCAATTTTTATAGTTTTTGAGATTAACTATGGTTTTCGACCGACTTGGAATAATAATTGACCTAAAGCCAGCAGCAGAGGAAACACCATTTCGTTGTATAGTAGCAAGAGTCTAAGAAAGGTGAAAGACTTCACCTAACATTAATTATACGATTAATTAATGACACAAAACAGAGGGTGGTTACAAAGACATGGTGGGGGTTTGTCTGCAAATACCTCCCCATCGTGAAGGATCAACATAATATCTCATTATTTTACCTACTAAAAGATTTTCCTGCATTTTCAATGATCCAGAAAAGATTTCATGGAAAATTTTTGGTCATATTCATTGTTCAGAAGAAGCTTCATAGTTCATATCATGGACAAAGAATTACTTTACTACTACCCATCACGCACAATGGACTGCAGTTGGAAGATTAGTCAGAAGAGACAAAAAGGTCTCTTCTGCTACTTTTTTCTGAACAAGGAAGTATGGTTTGAATCATCATATATTGCCACGAAACATTAGATATTATTTCTCATGTGGGTTCAATAAATTTTTAAGAATTAAGGATCATACTTGAAGTATCTTATCTACTCGAGCTAGGCTCAAATTGACTTGAACTTCCAACCATCGTTGGTGGCTCATTGGTACATAAGAAGAAATGGATTCAGATTCTATGATGACCACCTATCTTAAGAATTAATTCATATATGTTTCTCGATACAATATGGATCACAAAGGTGTGGTGCAAGCTGACTTAGACACTCAAAACTTAAATACCACACGGTTTGAGAAGTGAAATGAGAATGGGACATCGGGTACGTTTGGATGAGGAGGACCATACCAAGCGATCTTACCAACCATCCCATCAATTTGAGAGCGCTGAAAACTTAAACCCCACACACCCACGTGCCCCAACTCCGCCTAATATTATGGCCCTTAAATTACAAATTTTACTCCCTATCCTTTTTAGTTGATTCAATTAAGTTCCACCCAATTAAATTTTGTTTCGATTTTGATTCCTACGATTTTAAAAAATTCAATTGAGTTGCTATGACTTAGTTAGATCTTATAATTCATTAGATCACTGACTATGCGATATGAATTTCTTTATTTATGTAATATGGTTGGTGTATTCTATTTAGTTGACTGTGTTTGTTGACTGTATTGAGATTCAAGGACTTATTTAAAGGAGAGAAAAGTAGATGAATTTTTTCTTGGATAAAAGGCGATTAATGAGATTTAATCAAATTGAAATTGAGCTCAATTTCCAAATATTAAATTGAAACTTTAAAAATTATATTGACCAAATTTATAATTTTACATACTATTTTTTTTTTCTTGTTGTTACTTTTCTTCACTTTCTCTTTCTTTGTGTTAGCATTTTAGGCATAGTTAAATTTCACTATGTGTATCCTTGTATTCCACCATTTCTCTTCTCGCTCCACTGTCCTTTTGGCTTGTAATTTTAATAATTTTAAATTTGACGCAGCTCAGATTGAGAAATGAATTTGTGATCCATAAAACTAAACATATAACTTGAAATTTGAGTTTAAGAAACTAAAATTTATGAAGTTAGTAAATTGGAAGTCTAAGATCCCTAAATTATTCCTATTAAATTAAACCCTTGAGGAGAATAGCTTCACATGGATCGGAAATAAAACTTTGAAAACTTAAAAATTGATGCATTGAACCAAAAAGAGATGGCCGCGGACTGGGAGGAGTCAATATAATCAATTTAAGCACATTGCCAGCTATTGCTGCCGATAATGGAATTAAAGATTGAAAACTACAAAACATCTTCTCTTCTCCCTCAAATATGGCTCGTCACTTGTTTGTTCGACACTTGAAGATTTCTTTCACACATCTAGTTTTTTACCATAGCTCTAATATCAAATGTTAAGCACAACGGTACCCTCGTACCTCTAGGAATCTCCACAATCGTACTATATTCTTATGGACAAATTTATTTTTGATGTCACCTAAGACGTTTCATAGCAAATTGTCATCATTTATACATCATGGATCACTTCCTACTCCGTAGAAGTTAGGTTGCATTTTTTACCAACCCAACAAAACGACGCATTAAATGTGTGGCCCTTTGTTAATTTATACAGGTGAATGTGAATTAGCTAAGAAGGAAAAAACCAAGTACCACGGTAGTGGTTGGGGGAGGGGAGGCTCTTAAATTTAGAAACGACCCACCTTCAGGCTTCATTCAATCATACACTCCACACAAACTTCAATTTTTAATTTCTCTCTTCTTCTAATTTGGAATTGGCCTTGATTAAGGGCTTCCTTTTTCCAACTTGGCTTTCGTGTAAGGACAGTCTTGACTCACGTTCTTCCATTATAATGCCAATGATTCCTCCTCTCTTTAGATTCAATCTGGCAAAATATTAGTTCAGGAATCTTTCCAATGTGGCCAACCCTCGTGCGCCTAACCCATAATTTGTTTCTGTTACTTCAATTAATCAACCATATAATTTAATTATCTAACACCTCCATTTTTCCTTCTTCTTTTTTTTTTCTCTCTCTCTCTCTCTCTCTGCTGGTCGGTGCCCCTAAAATGAGCTCCATTCGTGCATGTCCCACGAAGCTTCGTCCCCCACAGCAGTTTCATGGAGATAATTTTATAGTTTATATAATCCCAAAGAAGCAGACAGAAAAAAGACCTGGATTTGCAGCCCCTCTAAACCCACCAAAGTTTGCTACCATGCACTATACTCGTACGTATGTTTGCCAATAAACCCACAAACCCCCCCAAAAAAAGTTAGCATATATTGATGATTATTGACGTGGGAAAATCATTGTTAATTTTACCATGTTTATGGCAGCTATAATGGCTGAAAAAGGTGGCATCGTGAGCCACAATTAAATTAGGCCTTGTTTGCTGATGATGGGACAATCGCAAATATAAAAAGGAAAAAGTAAAAAGAAAAAAAAAATGTACTTGAAAATGATTTTGATATTGTTTGTGGTGGATGGATTAATTGTTTTTAGTCGTATTTTTTGTTCATCTTTTTCCAACCACATTCAATGCCTAAATTTGCGATGAGCTGTGAGCCTGTGACAGTGTCATGTTATTAGGAAGAAAAAAAAATTTGAGAAATTAAATATTTGAGTTGTTCAAACATTATGAGATGTGCCCATTTTAGCATTGTTGTCAATTGGCCTTATCCTTATATCACTGTGTATACTTTATGTATATTAATCCATTATTTAGCATGATTAAGTCTGTCACACTTGTGGGCCTCAAAATTGCCTAAAATCATTAATTCAGTAAAAGTATGCATTTTTTCAAAATTGTTCTACTGATTACAGTAGTTTGGGAAATAAAAAAAATATGCATAAATTTTCATCAATCCCCAGAGCCTCTGAATATGTGTGCGAGATGAATTCAAATACAAGGTAAGATTATGGCTTAATTAATAATTGAAATTTGACCTTAATTTGGAGTCACACAATCACGTTGAGTGAATTTAATTTATGTTATTGTATGGTTTAAGACTTACTTAATTAAGACTAATTAAAGAATTAGAGAGAGAAATTTAAGAGAGAGAGAAAGTAGTGGTTTCCACAATCATGTTGAAGTTATTATATAATTCATGGCCATGTCCAAACAAGGATAACCTCTTAAATCCACTTACTTTTAACTAATTATCGTAATCAAACAGAACCCAAAATAAATATTTATTTTTCAAATACAAACAAAAGGCCATCAGAATTGGAATTTACTCCTAGGGGCACTTTGGTAATTTCATAATCTAATTTTATTATTATAATCCACAATTTTTTAATTTGTTTTGTTGTTTTGTTCGTACGAGTGATTTTGGGGTTCTTTATATATCCCACTGTCCCTTCTTTTTCTTCTCCCATTCCACAAAAATTCAAACTTTTTTTTTTAAGAGAGAGAGTGGAAAATTTTCTTAACTTCTGAAAATGGGTAACAGCTTAAGGTGTTGTTTGGCGTGCGTTCTTCCCTGTGGAGCTCTGGATTTGATCCGGATCGTCCATTTGAACGGCCACGTGGAAGAAATCGCCCATCCGATCACCGCCGGCGAAGTCCTCGAAGCAAACCCAAATCACGTTCTGAGTAAGCCTTGCTCCCAAGGGGTCGTTCGCCGGATTCTGATTCTCTCGCCGGAATCGGAGCTCAAAAGGGGCAGCATTTATTTCTTGATTCCGGCCACCTCTCTGCCGGACAAAAAAAGAAACACTGCCAGCACCCTA